TTTTTTTTATTTTTTTTGGTCTAATACTTCTTTTACGAGTATTGATGCTATCAAAGATTTTGCGAAAACATATTGTGTTGGAAAAAAAGAAAACTACAAAAATATAAGGGTCGTCTCAATACTGTGTTGTCATTGTAGAGTTATTGTACAACGTTTATAATCAAAATAATTGGTATTCAGAGAAGTATTCATAATTCATAATATTATAGCAAGTTTGTCATAGCTTATAAAGTTTATTATAGGTTACCTTAAAAAATGTTAAATAAAACAGTATCAAATAACTGAACTATTGTTTGGCTGCAACGTAACTAGACAAGCAATTTATGAAGAAGGTGATCCAAAACTGAGAAATTATCCCCTTGTTGCATAATTTATTAATTTAACCTAAAATATTTCTCGCGTAGAAATAGAGGAATTTTTAATAGATGTTATATGTACTAGGTTCATGGAGTCACATTTTATTAATTTTTTAAGTCAAGTCATATTTTATTAATATCTCATGCAAATCACCATCAAGTTATAAATTCGCAGTTTATTTTTTATCAAAAAAATAAAAATAAAAATATTTTGGCAGCTAATTTTATATCAAATGATTCCTAATATATAGCCGTTGACCTTTTATCCATGTGCTTGTCATTTTTATTTCAATTATTTGATTACAAGAGTTTGTTTTTAATTAAGCAAGATGACGATTTTTAGGAATGATTTATTTTCGTCAGCAATTGACATCAGCACCATGCTATTAAACTTGTGCTTATTGTCTTCTCTTTATAATATATTATCATTAGGAAAGAACTCCACTTAACTTTGGAATTAATTTTTCTAGTATGAAGTAGTTTTGGGATCAAACATTTAGTATGAAATGAATTTCATCAAAGCACATTTTATCATTTGCCAATAATTCTGATTAATAGTTCAATTCAAACTAATTTCAACCGTTACTTGTGTACAAAAATATATTTGAAAAAGAATTTTATATGAAGGAGTGGGAATTTTTTGTT